ATCTTTGTGCAAATTAAACTTAAGACTACTTACTTTAATGCTGTATGTATAGAGAAAATTATTTTTTTACTATCAAAATGAAGTTTAATCGAAACATTCAACCAATTTTTCTTAACTTCATGACTACTGTATTCAACATATTTTGAAAACTATTGCTTACCATGCTACCAGCTACGTAAATACTTGAAACTTTGAAAATAATCTTTTTTTAATATAACAATTAATGTCCGATGTACCATTAACTTGAAAAAATATTCTATACATATGAAATTGACAGTGGGCGGGGGTACGCAACACTCTCTTACTTATTTTTTAATTATTCTTATTAATATTAGTCGAAAGAGTGCAAGGTTGTAGGTTACTTGAAAATTTCACATCGTTCTAAAAAGTTCTGTATTATAAAATAAAATTTAACCAAAAATAATTCCATGTAAAAAAATATTTTTTTATTAGTAGTAGTAGTCGAAAGAGTATTAGATTTCAAGTCATTTGAAAATTTTACACCGTTAAGTTTTACTCCGTTCTAAAAAGTTCCATGCACGTAATTATAAAGCTAGCTTAACCGAAAATTATTCAACGTAACAAATCTTTTTTGTCATTACGTATTATTATACTATTCTTTTCAGTATTAGTCGAAAGAGTACTGGATTATAAATTATTTGAAATTTTTACACCGTTAAAAATCAAAATCCAAAAATTTTCAACTACATCAATATCAAATTTCTCGAAAAAAAAGTGAATATTTAACAATCCAGCTTTTCTAAAAATTGACTCTCAGACGCTATTTGTTCGACCTAAATCACATTTCGTAGTTTTATTATCAAAAATATAAAAATTGACCCGTATTTTAAATAATATAGTTTTCAATAGGGGGGAGGAATTTCTAAAATTTCTAATTCAAACAGTTTATCACAATTATCAAATTCAATAATAAAAAATAATATTAAAAATTATATTTTAAGCAAGTGTGTAACTATTCCGTTCTAATTTTGCCTTAATTACAAGATATTTTGCGTTCGAAGACTTTAAAATATCAAGGTTATTTTGTATTAAAATTCTTTCATGCATTAGTGAATCATTAGTAGGATTTTACAGCTTGATACAGACTTTGAAGGTAATCCCGATTTTTCATTGGTTGTCTGCATTTTCAAATATAAGTAGAATTATAGTGTTTCTTTTAATACCTTAGAAACACTGAGAACTAAAATAAGATTAAGTAGAGGTAAACGATGACGATTTTGGACTCGAATGGATTGAAAATGTCTGGGAGAAAAAGTAATCTGAAGTTACTTAAAATACTCGTGACCGTAAGATTATTATTTTCAATATTTATGTAAAAGATCTATATCAGGAACTTAGATGGAAATTTTCTTTTAAATAGCACCCAAGTATTATTACTTTCGTTTAAAGAAAATTGTGAAATAATAAACAGGAGGTAAGTAAATTATGTATGCTTTTATATTTTCTTGTTTGTAATTACACATTGTTGTTTATTCTGTTGGTGATTTATTCATTCTTATGTTTTGAACAATCAGTTCGAAATATTAGTTCGAACAATCGATTTTTTTGATAACCCTGAATAACGTCGACCACTTATCATCCGTCGCATTGACGCGGTTCCAAAAAGGGACCGTTGTTAAGATGTTAAACTGTACAATTCCGTAAAGTATTGATGACAGCTTTTATTAGCATCTTAGTTTTGAAATATAAATTTTTAATTTTAAAATTATAGAGATTGAAAATGCTGCTCAACTACTAAATACTTTTATCGCAAACTTTAAAAAGTATCTTAATTTTAAAATGTAAACTTTTACTTTAAAATTTTTAGAATTGAAAATGCTGCTTGCTGAAAAAATTTGATCAAAACATTTTTTAAGTATCTCAATTTTGGAAACATAAACTCTTGCTTTAAAATTGTAGAGATTGAAATTACTGCTCTTTTTAGATAATCTTTAGTCACAGTCTTTCAAAGTATCTTAATTTTAACTGTAGCTGTAAAGTTATGTAAATTAAAAAAGCTGTTATACTGTAAAAAGCTTTGATCTCGGCCTTTTAAGGTATTTTAATTATGAAGTGCATAACAATAGCTTAATTTTCTTATCGATTAATATGTAGTTTAACTGATCACTAACCTATAATTTGCAAAATAATAATAACCCATAATATATGTAACCTAACCGATATACATATATATACAGGTGGTTATCGAAATAATAGAAACACCCTAGATTTTGAATGTGTTCTGCCGTAGATGTTCTCATTATGAAGGTATCTCCTAACTGTAATTGTTGACACTGGAAAATCCAGATGCTGATTGAGCGCTGCGGTCACTTTGGCCGCAGTTGTTTTCTTTTTAGACATTACAATCCGTTTCAATACCCTTCGGTCTTTTTCACTCAGCTTCTCCTTCCGTTCACTATTTTGCTTTGCTGAGCTTGTCTCTCCGCGCTGTGTGTATGCTGTCACGACTTTAGACACCGTACCTCTAGAAACGCCTAAAAGCTGGGATGTTTGGTCACTGTTGCTCCAACTAGTCGGGCTCCTACAATTTGGCCTCTCTAAAAATATGTGAGGTCTGACATTTTACGCTTCTGACAAAAAATCAAAACGTAGACAACTCAGCTAAAGCTCTCTCATACCACCTGATATATGTACTTTTTATATTAAAAAAAAACTGGTAGCTATGATTATATTTTAACGCTTATGAAGCGAATTCTTAAATGTCCCTTTTATTCACAAGTGTTTCCATTATTTTGATAACCACATACATACATAT